AAGGGGCTCCAGGAGAGCTGGAGAGGGACTGGGGACAAGGCATGGAGGGACAGGACACAGGGAATGGCTACCCACTGCCAGAGGGCAGGGATAGATGGGATATTGGGAAGGAATTGTTGGTTGTGAGGGTGGTGGGGCCCTGGCACAGGTTGCCCAGAGAGGCAGGTGGATGGGAAATTCCTCCATTCCAGAATGAACTTCTGTCTTACCACGTGGAGATTCTCTTCATACAAATGGAAGATAATTTATACCAGAAGGAACTTCTGGTCATCTGGTCTAATCAAGTTGACACTCTAACTTCCCATGGGAAAAACCTGGGGGTTTTTGGAAGGAATGGCAAGAGAATCCCCAATCCCAGTCGTGACTGGTGGCTGCCAACCACCAGCTGGCCCCTCTGTGCTCAGGAAGTTTTGCTCCAGATTGGTTTGCAGAGAAAATCCAAGTCTTTCTTTTTGAATGTGACAAGAACTCATTCACTCACCAGCTACTCCAAGAGCTTATTGATAATTACAGCTTTAATCAGCAGTTCTTGCTTGCTTGGGACTGGGATGAAATTCAATTTATTTCACTGAATGCATTTTAAGCTCATGATACTATCAGCTGACAACAACACAGATGTACCCAGCTGGGACTCCCCAGCAGATCCAAACCACCACACCTGCATGGAAGGGCAGTTCTTGCTGGATTTCCAACTTGAGTTTGCAACAGGAGACACATTTACAGGCCCGGGATTGCACTGACAGAGCCAAACACAGACTCCAGGGCCAGAAATAAACTTTAGAGCAGAGAGTTTGACACAGAGGCTCAGATGGGGAGTGTGACCCTCAACTCTTCTTAGGTTTTCTATCTCTGACCACTTCCCAGTCCATCTAAGCAGGTCAAGCCAAAGGACAGAGAAACACATGGACACCAAATCACCTTTAAACCTTCAGCACCACAGACATTACCTGCACTTTGCAAAATCTACCTCTTCACTGCTTTCTTTAGAGAGAAACCTTGCTCAAAGGTTGGATTGGATGATCTTGGAGGTCTTTTCCAAACCAAACGACTCTGTGGTTCCAGGAGGGGGAAATACTAAAGTGCAACAAAAGCTTTTACCCAGGAAACTTTCCTGTGTCTGTGTCTGGCACATGGAACACGAGCAGAAATAACAGCTGCTGGTTTGGGGCATGGGTTCTTGGGGATCTGGGAGGGCAGAAGAAATTACCTCCATGTGTAGAAGGTAAAATGGGCCCCCAAACAGAGACCCAGCCAGGAACCACCTGGGTAGGGTGTAGGGTGGTGGGATGATGCCCCAGCCCTGGAAGTGTCCAAGGCCAGGCTGGACAGGGCTTGGAGTAACCTGGGCTAGTGGGAGGTGTCCCTGCCCGTGGCAGGGGGTGGAATGGGATGAGCTTTAAGGTCCTTTCTGACCCCAAACACTCCAAGATTCCATGTCCATCACTTCTACCAGAGCAGCCCTAAAGCTGAACCATAATTTCCTACTAAACCACAAGCCTTGTCCACAGGATTCCTACAGGCTTTAACTGAAGGCACAGCCCACAGAGACCAGACCTTCCAGACCTTCCATCAGGGCATTAAACACTGGGAAGTCAGGGTATTAAACACTGGGATCTCTTCTCCCAGAAGAGATCATCACAATTATTTGAGCAAGAAAACAGCTTGGAAGAGAGGTCACCAAGATCACAGTGCCCCAAAGGGAGGGAGAAGAGATAAAAATGAGTAAAAAGGAAAGGCTTTTCTGGGAAGACAGACTGGGCACTCACATCCATGTGCAGGGCTGGGGATGCTGGAGGGCTGGGAATGCCTGCCTGGAGCTGCTCTGGGGGCATTTGGAACATGGGAATGAGCTTTCTGCTCTGAAAATACGGAATAAAGTGCTGCTTAAGTAGCTGATCCAGGAGGAAAATTGCAGTGGTGAAAGGAGAGTGTGGGGGAAGAGGAAAAGAAAGCAGAGATACACTTGTCCCCAGGGCTGGGAATGTCTGGCAGTGAAGAGGGAAGGACAGGATGGTGATTCATGAGCAGAAGAACAGTTCACTGATGGAGTTAATCAAGCAAGAAAATATCCCCACTTTTAAATCCCTTTCCTGGGAGCCTGGAAAAAAAGAAAAGCACGTGTGGGGCTCATTGGCCACTGAAAGGCTGTCAGGGGTAAGAGTGGTAAAACTGCAGTGGCTTCTAAAACACAGCTCCTTGGAGTGCAGGGGCAGGGAAATGGCACCAGCTGCCCCAAAAACTGTCACCAGAGTGGCCAAAGGCACCTCTGCCACCGAGCACCGGCTCTGGAACAGCCTGTGCCACACCTGGGGGACAAACCCAGGGGAGACAAACCCAGGGGAGACAAACCCAGGGGACGCAGCAGGACCAGGAATGCACAGGCTGGAAAACACCACGAGGGCACCCAGCTGGCAGGAGGGTCTCCCCAGCAGCTTCCCAGAGTCTCCTGTGGGAGCATTTCCAGGGGAAACTCCCCCACAGGCACCGAGCAGGTCCTGGAAGCACCAAATGAGAACTGTCAGCTGGGAAAGGCAAATGCCAAAGCCCCGGGCAGGAGGGGGGCAGAGGGTGTGCCCAGCGGCTCTGTGGGAAGGGAGGCCTCGTGCAGTGACCACCACAGTGACCACCAGGCTCTGACCACCCTGGAGGGAACCAGCTCCTTAAGGACCCACATCTGGTTCCCTCCTGCAAAAATCTGAGGGAAAATCAGTCCTGCAAAGGTTCAGCCGTCTGGGCATGGATTTCCCAGGAAAAATGGCCCACAGTTGTCCCCACAGCCAGGTCCTGAGCAGTGTCACTGACTCCAACCAGACACTCTGGGACATCACTCCTCAGGAACATGGAATATTTCAACACCTATGAAACAAGCTCCCCCGGGCTTAAATACTTCAGTGTCTCTGAAACCACCCAAACTTTGTGTTTCTGAAACTGCCCCTGAGCAAACCCAGCACAGGTTTGAGGCAGCACAGATCTGCCCCCACGGAATGAGCCACCAAACTAAACTCATGCTCTCCCAGGCTTTAGGATCCACAGAGTTAACCTGGTTTTCCTGCCAGACCCTTTCAGGCTCTCACACCCCAAACCAAGTCGCAGACACCACCAGATTAACTTTCTATTTTAACGAGCTCAGCTCTGCAGCCAGAGACACCAGCAGCCTTTAAATTTAGAAATTAATCACAGCTCAAAGGTTAAGTCCCTGAGTCTTTTCCTGTTTCAAAGTCCTTTTAGTGAAAGAAGAAGTGAAATGAGTCTGGTTCCAGCTGGAGCTGGGAGCCAGGGAAGGGCAGCAGGCACTTCCAGGCCATAATGAATTTGAGCTGAAAAATCAAACATCTGCAGTAGGTCAGTGGGATGAGGAGGTGCCTCCACTGCCTGCAGAGGGAATCCAGGGAGTGCTAACTCCTGGGACCCATGGGGAGTTAACTCCTGGGATCCATGGGGAGTTAACTCCTGGGATCCATGGAGAGTTAACTCCTGGGATCCATGGGGAGTTAACTCCTGGGATCCATGGGGAGTCAATTCCTGGGATCCATGGGGAGTTAACTCCTGGGACCCATGGGGAGTTAACTCCTGGGATCCATGGGGAGTTAATTCCTGGGATCCATGGGGAGTTAATTCCTGGGATCCATGGGGAGTTAACTCCTGGGGTCAGTGATGTGGACATCCTCCATTTGGCCACGAACAGCCCATAAACCAGGTGAGAAGCAGGTCAGGTGTAGCTGGAGCACTATGAAACGAGACACTCACGTTCATCCTGGCATCCCAAGGGAAAATTAAACAATTCTTCAGCCTGCCTTGTTTCCAGGAGCCCTGAGACTCTGCCACACCTTTGTGCCTCCAACAGAGCATTCTTGAGAGTGACACAACAACATGGTACAAGAGAAGGAGTTAGTAGACAGACAGCTTGCCCAGAGCCCATACTTACATTCCCACCTCCAGGGACATGCTTAATATTGTCCTTGGAACCACACTTGGACTGAACATGGCTGTAGTTCGCTTTTTTGGAGACTATCTGGACCTGGAACGTCACAGAATGGAAAACAACACAAGGGAGAGGACTGGTTAGAGTTGTCATATGGCAGGGGGGGCTCTGACACGGGGAACAGGAGCCCTGGGAACTCAGCCCGACTCAGTGCCAGGGGTGGAAGCGACTGAGGAGAGTGAGAGAGAAGTGAAGGACAAGAGCCTGCACAGACAGTGTTAGTGCCAGAGCATGAGGTGAAAACGCTGCTCCACGGGCCCACGGACCTGCCTGCCCCAAGGGATGGGATTGCCCACGGCCCCCCAGAGCTTCCCGGGATATTTCTAGTGGGAGCTTCCCTGGAGCAGGGAGAGCCAGCCCAGCTGCCCAGGAGCCAGCACTTGGAATGACCTGCTCAGGGTCTGCTCCTGGGTGGGCTCCAGTCCTGGATAACATCCCTCAAACCCCCGGGCAGTGAAGCCCCATGGGCTGAGAAAGGTTTTCCTGACGAAGGTGGTCAAACCTTGGGTTAAATTACATCAGACCACACGTGAATTAAATTGTTTCTCCTTTAAATTAAAGTGATTTGGACTTGGGGACGTGGTCAGTGGTGGCCTTGCAGTGCTGGGCCGATGGTTGGACTCGAGCTCAGAGGGCTTTTCCAACCTCAGTGATTGATCCTGTGATTTTTGTAATACAGAAGGAATAGCTAAGTGAGCTTTACTCACAGAGCAGGAGCTGAGTTAGAGAGTCAGGCCCGTGCTTACAAAGGTTAGTTACAACACGTGTGTAGTCTGGGAGTTACTTCCCACAGCACAGAACAGGGCAGCAGCTGTGCCCTGCTTCCCAGAGAGAGGTGATAAACTCGGAGCACAAAAGGAATCCCCAGAGCATTCTCACTTGAGCAGCTTCCCAAAGCTCCTTGGCCATTCAGAAAGGCTGGATTCAGGGCAAGAGCAGCTCTAAAAACTCGTGCCATGGAGTGTGTGACTGACTCCTCCAGAGGTACAAATCCTGGTCATTCCTGAATAGGCTCTGCCTGGTAATACTGGAATTAAACTGCAGCACTCCCACCTCACCCCCTCCCTCGTGCTGGAACACCGTGTCACGCCAGCTTTGGGGTAACCCATCAAATGGTGGTGGCCTAATCCATGGAGTTACAGAGTTTGGGAACAACTGGGTCCGGAATATTGCAGGAAAGATGAATTCCTTAATATTCCACGGTCTTAAGAGAAGCAGCTCTGAACTAAAACCCTGCCTGGTTACAAACTGGTTCTGCGTAGGAAGAACTGGTTTGAAGTGGCTCAAAGTTAAGCCTGTATCAACCTCAAAGTGAAACTGGAGAGCTCTGCTCTGCAAACATTCCCAGCAGGAGTGGAGAAGGTCCCTCCAGAGAGAGCCCTGAAGGTGCTTCCCTGGGAACATCTCGGGGTGTAGGACAAAGACCGGGAAGAGTGTCCGTGCGAGGAACAGTGACACCGACAGGACAGAGAGAAGAGCCGAAGAGAAGGGAAGGTGACTCAAAATGGAAACGCTTTTTCCTTCATCTCCCCCAAGAGAAAAGTGTGAAAGGAACTCACTTTCCCATTGGGCTGTTTGGGGACCCCCTCTTTTGATACGGCTGTTTTGGGAGGAGCCACTTTAGTGCCCGCGCTGGGCTCGGGCCTGGGCGCGGCGGCGGCTGGGTCGGGCCTTTTCTCTACTTTCCCCTGGATGGAGACAAACGGGTGATTTCAACCAGCAAAAGCAGAAGTGTGGGCAGGGGGTGGGAACAGGAGCTGCCCGGGGAGACCTCACGGAGCGGGTGACCCAGGAGAGCCTCCTGCACGCTCCAGTTCCCAGGCAAAGGACAATCCCACACCCAGGATGGGAGGGAAGCAACACCACTCAGGCATGGGGTGGCACGGGCACCCTGTTCTCCATGTCTCAAAAAGCTCCTGGTGCCCCTTCCTTGGGATCACCTTGGCAGGTTCCAAGTGACCCCGGCACTTACGTCCTGTCAAAAAATCAACCCAGATCTTTTAGGAGCCCAACGGCAGCAGGGCAGGGGCAGCTCCTTCACAGGGAGGACATGATGAAGATCCTGGAGGCAAAGACATCCCTGGATTGCCTCTGTCTTGGAGCTCCAGGAGCTCTGCTGGACACACACATCCTGTGCTTCCAGTTGGGATTCCACCCACACAGACTTGACTCAGTCCTGGAGCCCAGCAGCTGATTTAGTTTTTATCTAAAAAATGCAGGTGGACCAAGCGAGTCCAGCTGAGCAAAAATGGAAGGAAAAATTAGAGGTTTCGTAAAAATTCAGCAACCACCTGCAAATATCCATTCTTTTGCTAATCTGGATCCAGGGAGGTGCAGCAGAACCTGCATTTCTGGGGGGGGGTGCTCAGCATGAATTTTGTATTTCACTAACTTACAGACCAGTGAACAAAAAAACCCCTCAGCAATGACAGCGTCCTCAGACTCCAAAAACACCTCAGTGTAAATCAGACTATGAAAAGGACAATTTGCTTAAAAATAAAATTGTTCAAATTTAATAATTCCATGAAAATATTTAGAAAATCAAGGACAGTGCAATGGAATGTGAAAATCGAGTCCCTCAAGCTGAGCCAGGGAGGGCTGTGCTGTGAGATCACCACTAAGACAGCCCTGACTGAGGGTAAATCCATGTGGTATCGATGCTGTCTGGGACACACAGCCAGCCCAGGAGTGCCCTTGACTTTCCTGTGCCTGGGAGCAGACTGAGGTCCCAGCACGGAACGCGCTCCCCTGGCAGCCCATGGAAGTTCTGTGCAGAGTTATTCAGCCCCACAGGCTGCAGCAAAGGGGGCAAATCCCTCTGGGTGGGAATTAAAGCCCTCTGAGTGCTGTCAACACTTTTGGTAAGGCCAAGATGGGGGTTATACAACAGCTCATCAAGGTCTGATGGTTCTGCAGCCACATTATCTAAACCTCAGAAGAGGCTGCAGGTCTATCCCCAAACCTTCCTTATTTCCATGGCAGGTATTCTTGGTTTCACCATGTAATTTAGAGCAGTAAGAGGCATCGAGAGCCCTGTGTTCTAGCTCTGTACATGCCTTTTCAGCACTACCCTCTCCTTGTGGCCACCACGGGTGAGCCAAACAGACCCGTTTCATGTTGGCTTTGGGTCTGCTAAACACGGGAAAGGTGCTGTGGAACTTGCTCCTGAATCCAGGTTTCCTTCACCCCAGTGCACTATTCCCCCCTTCTGTGCCATTCAGCAGATTGGGTTCCTCTGTCCCCAGGCCAAGGTTTGGAACACAGACAAGACTGGGGGTGTTCAATACCGAGTTCCTGTGTCAGGACGTACGGCAGGAGAACAGGACCGGAGCCCTGGGTTCCCACACGTGCCCCAGCAACCCCCGGGCGGCCCTGAGGTGGATTCCTTCTGCACAGTCCCACCACCTGGTTAATGCCACCCCAGACCCCAGAGAGGAGCTCTGCAGAGCGCGAGCGAGGAGAGCAGTGAGGGCACAGCCACCGCGGTCAGCGAGGAGCGCCCGGCGCCGCGCGGGGCCACGGCGGGGCCCGGCACTCACCTTCCCCCCGCCGGGCTGGTGCTTGATGTTGTCCGTGGAGCCCACCTTGGAGCGCACGTTCTTCAGGTCGGGGGCGGAGGCGCTGCTGCTGGGCCGGGGCGGCTTGGCCGCGGAGCCGGGCTTGCCGGGGGCCTTGGCGGGGGGTTTTTTAGCGTCCGCGGGGCGGCGGAGGTCGAGGAGGTGGGTTTTGGATGCGGCAGCCTTGGGTTTGGGGCGACTGGTGGCTGCCCCGGGTGCGCTGGGAGTGCTGGAGGCCGCGGTGGAAGGAGTGGTGGCGCTGCTCTTGGTGGCATTGCCGGCCGCGCTCCTGGGGCGGCTCGAGTCCGCTGCGGGTGGCACGGGAATGCCGGAGGGAAGGGGGAACACGCGGGTCACAGGCTGCTTGTACCGGCCCCCTCGGAGTCACAGCAGCCCAGGAGGGCTGGGGTTGGGAGGGACCCCAAAGCCCACCCAGTCCCAGCCCCAGCCATGGGCAGGGACACCTTCCAGCGTCCCAGGCTGCTCCAAGCCCCGTCCAACCCGGCCCTGGACACTTCCCAGAGGTTTACAGAGACCTCCTTAATCACCCCAGCCCCAAACAAGGGGGTTTGATTTAGACTGAGGAAATGGCTACAAGTTGTGCCAGGGCAGGTTTAGGTTGGATACTGAGAAAAATCCTCCTGGGAAGGGCTGCCCAGCCCTGGCACAGCTGCCCAGGGCAGGGGGGAGTCCCATCCCTGGAGGGATTTCAAAGCCCTGTGGATGTGGCACCTGGGGACATGGTCGGCCTTGGCAGTGCTGGGGAAATGATCAGTGGTCTTAGAGGGTTCTTCCAAGCCTGATGATCCCATAACTCCAGGATTGGAGGCAAACTGAGCATTACCTGATGGAGACTTTGCCAAGGTCTTCTTGGCCTCCGCCGGCTTCCCGTCGGTTTTGATTGCTGCCAACACAGAACACAGTGGTCAGGATTTCAGGGCAGGATCCAGATGAAGTCTGGAATCATCCCAAAAATTAACTGCCCTGTTTGAACCACTGCCTGGCTTCCTCCTCCTGACAGCAGAACCCACTTGGATATTCTGGCCAAAGGATCAATTAATGTAAAAGGACCATCATTCCATGATGGAACACACCTGGGGGATGGGTTGCATTTTGTTTTTCTTAAAATAACTTTCTCAATCTGACAGCACTCACTGAGGTTATTTTAATCCTGCCCCACCTTTATTTCTTAAAAAAAACCCCCAAACAAACAAAAAAACCTGCCAGAACACATTTCCTTTCTTTACTCAACAGCAAAAGCAACCCCACATTTGTCCTTCTCTAACCTTGCTCTCATTGCCAGACCAGACCTACCCTGTGCCAATTTTCTTGCACAGAAGTTATTGCACGTATTTTGGTCCCTATTTTAATTGTATAAACCCAAAAATCAATCCCTAAACTGAGCCAGGCCTTAGGGCAAAGCCCAACGATCATGACCTGATTACAGAGCACAGCCTAAACCAGGAATTCGTCCCTATTTCCCCAAGCAGAAGAAAAACCAACCACAAAACTGATCAAGGCAAAAATCACGGACTGAAAAATGGAAACAGAACTTTATTTTAAGGAGCTCTTTGATAATGAAATTGTAGGTTTTTCACTATCAGTGATGAGCAAGTTTGGGTAAAATCGGGTTTGTTCCAATAGCCAAAGGAAGGCAACATTGAAAAGAAACAACAAATGGAAAAAAACCATAGTTAGAAATGATGAAAGCCCTCATTTTTTAGTATTTAATTTCCATTAAGTCTCATATTTTTAGATAAACTCCAGCAGCTGGCAAGGTATTTATGGAATATCAATATGGAAAAGACCAAGGGGAAGAGGCAGATAACTACAGGCCAAGTTAGTCCGGATCATTCCACCCTGACTTTGCTAAAAGCACTCAATTAAACCTCCCAGATAAGATTCCAGCTAATGAAGTGAAACCCATTTGGATAATTTAATAAGGCCTAAAGGAGAGATATATAATTAATACCAAACACTTCAAAAAAGGGCCTGTCAAACCAACCTAATTTCATTCCTCAAGACCACAGCTTCAGTTGGGGAAACTGCATGGACAGAACAGACTCAGCTTTATATAAAAGGCAGAGGATGAATATGTTTAATACAGAGAGAGATGTTATTTCTGCTCATGTCAGTGGGGTTACAAGTGCTGGAACCCTCCTGTCTGTGTGATATGAGATGGTGAAAACCTGGAGAGTGATAAAGCTCATGGTCTATAATGACAGGCAAAGGCTTTGATCTTTGCCTGATGGGAAGGACAGAGCGCGGTCTTATGCAAACATAAAAGTCATTTCCACAGGGAGGGGAACAAAAACCAAAAACAAAGCTAAAAATTAAAAATCAAAATCTCCAGCCCCACGTGGCTCCCCTTCAGTGGAGGAAGTGAACTGACATTTCATACCCGAAAAAATGAAACCACAGAATGTCAAAGCCATCCTTACACACAGCTCTGAACAACGACTAAACCTGAGAGAATCACAAGGCAGTGTCTGCCTTCTGACTCAGGAGAAGCAAGAGCAGATGTCCTGCTGAAAGAGCATCTTCAGCCAGAAACAGCACTTTTAGCCACAAACTTACTCCCTGTCTCAGTGCTGTGCCATGAGAAGCTAAATTCATGGAATCACTGAGGTTGGAAAGGATCTTTGAGATCATGGAGTCCAACCATTCCCCAGCACTGCCAAAGCCATCTCTGACCCTGTCCCCCCGTGTCACATCCACAGGGCCTTGAAATCCCTCCAGGGATGGGGTCTCCCCCCCTGCCACTGATGGACAGCCCTTCCCAGAAGGAATTTCCCCAGTATCCAACCTGACCCTCCCCTGGCACAGCTTGAGGCCATTTCCCCTTGTGCTGTCCCTTGTTCCCTGGGAGCAGAGCCCGACCCCCTGGGCTCCCCCCTCCTCTAAAGGAGTTGATCAGAACTGGGATCAGAAGAGCTCCAGGTCTCCCACATCCCCATCTCTTCCTGCAGCTGCTCCACCCCAACCCAGCCGCGGTGTTTGACCCGCTGTGGTTCCCTCCAGCCTGTCACACCCCTCTGTCACCTCACCCAACACAGGACCCCCCTCTTCTTCCACCACTCCTGACTCCCCCGTGCGTCCCCAGCCCCACACAAGGCAGCTCTGCCTCCCCTGGAGCTCCTCCAGCTGACCTCATCTCTCCCTCGCCCACCCAGCTCTCCCTGTGCTTTGGCACCGTCCCGCCGCCCTCGCCGCTGCCGGAGCCTCTTCCTCTGCACATCCTGCCTCTTGGAACACCCCTCCTGCAGCTCTGCATCGCTGGCTCCGTCTCCTTTCAGATGGCACCAGCGAACGCCCCTTTGTCTGGGGCTCACTTTTGGAAGGAGGAATGAACTGAACTCATTAGAACGGATTCCTCGTTCCCGGGCCCCGGTTTTTGCCTCAGAGACCACACAAAATGAATTTTACAAGGATGGCCACGGGATCAGATGGGATAGATGGCTCTTGGAAGGTTCAACACTTCCTCTACGCTTGATTAATTATATTTTCCCCCAGAGCATGAAGTCTGGGATGGCCAGCAAGCCTAATAAACCTCAAACAGTTCAAACATTACTATTTCTCTGGGAACGTTGGGTTACGAATCCAAGTTCTGGGATTCACAGCCCAAACCAACCAACACGGATCATTTTACACGTTTATTGGCAAATTTTGCCACTGGGGTCCAGTAATTTAAAAAGCCTTGAGATCATTTAACTCAAATTTTATCTGACGTTGAGTCTCCTGAGCTCCATTAAAACGAGTGAGGACGTGTTTCCAAGAGCCTGGAACGCTGCTCGTGTTTCATGTTGAACCCGTGGGAAGGTCCCTCTTCAGCAGCAGCAGGAGTGGGACACAGCCTTTGGATGGAGCTGATGTGATCTCAGCTCCAAACTCTTCCTGCACTGGTAAAAAGCCCTCAACTTCTGCTGAACCCTTTTTGGTTTTCAGAGGCACCAGTTCGGGGGTTTCAAGCCCTCTCCTGGAGATTTCCTTTCCCAAGTTTTATTTGCTTTTGGTGTTTATTCTGTGGTAAAATGCAGAGGGAACAGCATCCCTTAAATCAAGTGTGTTCACTAACTGCATTAACCCTGGATCACACAGGGCTCATCCAAGCTGGCCTTGAGGGCCATTTGGATTTGGGTTTGGAACAGGAAGCCCTGGAGAGGAAAAAGTCTGAGCTACAGCCAGAGTCCAGGGAAGGCCCTGGAGATGCTCCCAGGGCTGGAGCCCCTCTGCTCTGGAGCCAGGCTGGGAGAGCTGGGGGGGTTCCCCTGGAGAAGAGAAGGCTCCAGGGAGAGCTGAGGCCTAAAGGGATTCCAGGAGAGCTGGGTAGCCCTTTCCCACAAAGAAATTTTCTAATATCCAACCTGACCCTCCCCTGGTGCAACGTGAGGCCATTTCCTCCCATCCTGTCCCTTGTTCCCTGGGAGCAGAGCCCGACTCCCCCCGGCTCCCCCCTGCTGTCAGGGAGTTGTGAGGAGCAGATGGTGCCCCTCAGGCTCGCAGGCCTTGGGAGGGGACATCCCAGGCAGGAGTTCAGGGCAGGGGACACTCACACGACGGCCTCTTGGGAGTCGCGGCCGAGGTGGTTTTGGTAGCAGGAGCTGCCGTGACCGGAGACGCCGCCGTGGTCTTGGGAGCAGCTGGGGAGCTCTTGAGAGGAGTCTTGGGAGTGGTGGAGGATGGAGGCTTGGAGAGGGAGCTCTTCTTCTCCGCGGGCTTCGCATCCGCAACCTGCAAGCGGGGAGGAGCCGTCAGAGCCGGTGCTGCACCAGCACTGCCAGGGGAGGGGAAGCGCCACAGAAAAGGCTGAAATAAACTCAAATCCTTTACAGTCTGAAGCACTTAAGCTTGGCACGGCTGAGAGGTTATAATGCAAATTAAAACATAATTCAGATGAGCAGAAGTGACTGTGTTGAGTGGAGAACACGGAGCACAGACCCCGTGGAGGAGCAGATTCCACCCGGGGCTGGTCCAGCACTGACGGCTGTGAAGGAGGTTTGGATTTCTGGACAAAATGGAACATATCTGTCCACTATCAACACTCCTGGGAGAGATCCCTGCCCTCCATGAGCAGGAATGCTTCCTGAGCTAACCTGGAGTTTATTGAAACACTGGGGACATGAGAATTGGGTGTCTGTGGCTCATCCCTCACTTGGAAAACTGTCCCTGGTTTCCTCCCTCTCCCTGGTAAGTCACTTGTTTGGCAACTGCCTGGTGTCTGAAGTATGAAAATACTGAGTTAATGTGAGCAAACAAGTCAGATGAGAGCCTGATTTTATCAAAAAGGGATTCAGAATGATGGGAAAACTTGAGCCAAGCCAAAGATGCTGGCTCAGAGAAAAGCACAGATTTACACCTGCGCTTTCATACCCTCCCTGCTAACTTTAGTTAGTTCTAAAAGACACTCAAATGCAGCTATTTAAGCTTAATATGGCAGAAATGGTGGCATTTAGCCATCAGTGAAGCTTCTGAAATTGATTTTAACGTTCACTTTTAAATCTGAATTCTTCTCTATAAGATCACAAGTTAACACAGGGAAGATTCAAGGGACACCTCCCATTCCTAACACATGGATTTCCTATTTCAGCTGGAAGATGAACACTAAGAACTGTCCATGAATCTTCTGTTCTGGGGGAATTACCAAATCCCAGCATTTCCTCAGCACAGAAGTGTTATCAGTTCTCTTTGTGCAGCTCTTCCAGTGACCAGGCATCACAAGGAGACACCCAGTGGGAAACACTGGAGTGCCCAAATGGATTTGTTTCCCCTTGATATGAATATCAAAGGTCTCCAATCAGTTTTCTCATGGTCTTGTCTGGATTTAAGAGTTTTATTGGGAAGAAAGTCTTCCCTGTGAGGGTGGGGAGGCCCTGGCATAGGTTGCCCAGAGAAGCTGTGGATGCCCCATCCCTGGAAGTGTCCAAGGCCAGCTTGGACAGGGCTTGGAGAAACCTGGGCTGGTGGGAGGTGTCCCTGCCCGTGGCAGGGGGTGGAATGGATGATCTTTAAGGTTCCTTCCCACCCAAACCATCCTGGGATTCTGTGATTCATGGCAGTTCACCAGTCAAGTTTAATTGGCCCCTGTGATGCCACAGTTCAGTGCCTGGGACCTGATGCCATCCATGGGTTAATGGAAGCTGCTCCCAAGAACCCTGCAGCTCCTCACACACTGAAGGACCATCCTGACCTTCTCCTCCCCTGACTGGCACGGGAATTCTGCTCTGACTGCTGGGGAGAGCTGGTCATTTCCCACGTCCACGAGCCCTGGGAGCTCCCCCAGCACAGCAGGTCGGTTCTTACCTTTGGTTTAGTCTCTTTTGCAGCTAAGGAGGAGGGACGGGTGGTGCTGGTGCCGGGGCGTTTGGCAGTGCTGGCTGCAGGACCTGCAGTCGGGCTCGTGGCTTTTTTGTTTGGGCCTGAGGTGGCCGAGCCCGGGCGCTTGGGGCTGGTGGTGGCCGAGGGCTTGGCCTTCGCTGCTGCCGGCTTTGGAGAGGAGGTGGATGCAGAGGGCTTTGGGTGGGGCCAGAAAGCAAAATCCGGGATAAAAACCGAAGGAACACAACAAAAAAAACAGCGCATTGTGAACCAAAACATCGAGCAGCGAGAACATAAAGGGGGTGTTTGAAAGGAAACAAACGATAACGATAATCAGCTTTCTGTTTTCTGAGCGCAGCAAAGAGCCGAGAGCAGCGGGGCCTCGGGGCCGGGGGGGTCCTGCCAGCCAACCCCAAACCAGCAGGATTTATTCCAGCAGCATCAGAAGCAACAGAAGGAATGGCTGGGTAAGCTGGGATTAGCAACTGGGTGTTCCTGGCCTCCAGTCCTACGTGCAGGACGCAGGGCACGGCGTTCCAATTACGGGCACGCACGGATTGCGGGCCCTAAATCCTCATCCCATCAACTCCCGCGGCCACACGGCCCCTGCCCCCGAGGGGACAGAGAGCTCCCGGCCCCACACCCCTCGGGGAATTTGGGGGTGCATTCTGAAGCTCCTGGGAGCAGAGCTCTCTGCAACAAGAGAGCCCCAGATCCCAGCAGTGCCCACTGCAATGCAAATAAAGGTGTAAACAACTCGGGAGCGTCTGTGCAGCAGGAGTTCATCCTCCGTGTTTGCTACTCCTACCCCAACCCCAGAGTGCAAGGGAATAAACCCTTCCACACATTTATCAAAGGCACTTCCAGTCACGTGGCTGAGCTGTTTGGGACTGGCTGGGTTTGGTCTGGGAAGAGGGTTCCCAAGCGGAGCTCAGAAAACAGAACCTGGGTTGGCATAGCTGAGGAAGCAGAAAAGCTGGCAAATGAAACCATGGAAGTGGAGACACTGAGCGTGGAATGGTCCTACCTTGGTCTTCTTCTCCGGGCTGGGAGGAAGCTCCTTGTTGGGAGGAGCTGTGATGTCGTTCCCTGTCACAGCTTCCACTGGTTTGGGCTCCTCTGGTTTCACTGCAGGGGAAGGAAGGGACACTTGGTAAGTTCGAGCTTTTTTTAATAACATATCTCTATTTTTTTAGTTTACTATCATTCGACACAGCAGCAGGAGGAGAGAGAAGTGTGACAGCTACAGGTTGGTATTTCAGGGAAATTTCCCCAAGCTCAGAATTCCTGTAGGAAGAAAGGTCTTCCCTGTAATGGGACAGGTTCATCCACATGCCATTAGCATCCAATTTCTCCTGTTATTCCAGTGGGAAAAGCCGGACAGCAGATGAAGGAAACCTGTGGTTTAATTCAAATAGCAAATCTCCCCACCTTTCAAACTATTAAAATTAATTCTTGGAATGTTAATGGTGAAGTTCTGACCTCTTCCAGGTTTTACACTGTGACTTATCCCAAAGGGGGGTTCCAGGACTTCCAGGGAAGCAGGAACACGGAGCTCCCAGTCCAACACACGTGGACCCCACTGACCCTCGTTAGTGTGGAAACCCCTGTCCCAGATTCCCTATAAATGGCTTTAACCCCCAGTTCCCAGCGGGGTTGCTGTGCAGCTGCACTGCTCTGGGCTCCCTTCCCCTGCAATTCCAGGGGCACTGGGATTTTAGGAAGGCACAAACAACCCATCCCAAATTCCTGCACACCCCCTTATCATCTGGGGATTAAATCCAAGTGTTATCTGTGCTGGATGGGGCTTTTTATAACCACCCAACAGACTGTGACACACCGAGGGCCCACCAGAGCACACAGTGACAACTCCAACAGTAAACAAGTTGTTTTCCACATCTTTCCAAAATTACTATTTATATTTCACATTTTCTTGCTTGTCAGTCTTGACAGGAGCATCTCAATTCTGGTACCAAACAGCAAATAAAATAAAGCCATGCCTCCCACCCCCCCCAGCAGGATGGGCTGGCTGCTGTTATTATTTATTTCCCTGACCCCAGGAGAAGTTCAGGAGCCTTTTTTCCCTTGCATTGCATCAGCCTCTTCCTATCCATTTATCTTCTAAGTTTTGCAGTGGTGGGTTGAGCATCCTGGACACACAGAAAAGGCTTGGGAAGGAAAAAAAAAAGGAGCAAAATGTATGGCCTGGACATGTGTTTGATTCAAAATGTATTTATATATTTATAGACATACAAACTATATATATATATATATATTCAAATTCTGAAGAATTATCCATGTTCACCTGGAAAACCCCCTGTTTTTGTAGCTAACCTGTACTGGCTCCTCTCTGCTTGGTTTCTCCCCTGCATTTCAATAACCCTTCATGTTCTCCCCCATTTCACCTGTCAGCTCCACCCACAGCAGGGCCAGAAGGAGCAGTTGTTGTCAGTGGTTCTCAACAACAACCTCCTGTCCATTCCCCTCTCCCTGCTCCCAGAAACTGCTCCACTGGAATCCTGCCAGTCTCAAACATCCCCGACATCAAGGTGCCTTTCCCTCTGCTGGAATTTACCTTTCAGGTACTGCCTGTCATTAATTATTTCAGCTAATTCAGCAGCAACACTAAACCTCCTGCTGATGATAAAGCACAGCATCCACACCACGAATTCACTGGCCCAGGGAATGCTCCTCAAAAGCCTCAGCTTCCAAAGGCTCAGGATTTAAACTCCAGCAGCTTCCACACTTTCTGAGCCAATCTGAATTTCACGGGACTTCAGGTTAATAGAAAGTGAATTAGAAACAGGGCAGGACAAGGGGGAATGGCTTCCCACTGCCAGAGGGCAGGGTTAGGTGGGATAGTGGGAAGGAATTCCCTGGCTGGGGAGGGTGGGGAGGCCCCTGTGCACAGTGTTGCCCCTAAGAAGCTGTGGCTGCCCCTGGATCCCTGGAAGTGTCCAAGGGCAGGCTGGACAGGGCTTGGAGCAACCTGCTCTGGCAGGGGGTGGAATGAGATGATCTTTAAGGTCCCTTCCCAAACCCAAGCCATTCTGGGACTTTATGAACCTAGATGATGATGATGATGATGATGATGATGATGATGATGATGATGATGATAAATCCAGGGGAGCAGGGTAGGGAACTTCCCTGCTTCAGGGGCTGTAATTCAGGCTCCTTCTCTCACAGCCTCTGACATTCCAGGGTACACAACCCTGTACAATTCCCCAGGGATTACAGAAGGGTAGTTCTGGGGTTTGATAGTCATTTGCCTCAATTTAAGTCCCAGCCCAAAGTGCTCATCAGGACATTTGCTTTCATTCATGGTTTAATTACGAGGGTGTTCGCCGAGCAGAGAACTGGGACCATTTCCTAGTTACAGGCAATATTGGGAAGGGCTGCCAAACCTTAATCAAATTTGTTCATTAGTCTGAAAGAATAATTTAAGAGACTTTTCAGTTTGCTTGTTCCCCCCAAGCTTGGCAACAAACCCCTGAGAGATATTTCAAAGGCATTTTGTTGGGAGCTGTAGCAGGGGCCGGGCTCCTCCTGCTCCTCCTGGTGTTCGGTGAGGGGGAAAATTCAGCTGAGCTGAGTCAGCACCTGGAATTGAATTACTCCCGAGGGAAAGGGGCTTGAAGGACAGGGAAGGACATTCCCATCTGGATCTTCCAGGCTGACTCCAAGGCATAACCCTGTCACCAGGTACTTTCCCCTGCTGTTACTCACTGCAAGCGGCACCGCGCCGTTGGCACATCCATCCCCATCCCAATTCCTCACCATTCCCTACTCTCTAAACATGATTTTAATGGTGAAAATACAACTTTTTGGGGTGTCTCAGCTCACAGTTCCACGAGGCACCTCTGCTTCACAATTTCTAAGAGCAACACTGGAGGAAATGATTTGTGTCATTGGTGGGGCCCTGGCACAGGTTGCCCAGAGCAGCTGTGGCTGCCCCTGGATCCCTGCAAGTGCCCAAGGTTGGACGGGGCTTGGAGCAACCTGGGGGAGTGGAAGGTGTCCCTGCCTGTAGCAGGAGGTGGAACTGGATGGGTTTTAAGGTCCCTTCCAATGCTAACCAGGCTGGAATTCCATATGGAAGTGCACCGGAGAGAACAAAGAGGCCAGTTCTGAGAAAATGCCCCAAGACACCTGTCCTGCCCATCCAAGATAATTGGTGCTTTCCGTGTTTTCCTTGGCAAAGTTTCTGCAGGAGGAGTTTGGCACTGGTGGGTACAAGCCTTGCTGTCACACCAGAGCCTTCTCTTCTAAAACTCTGCTCAAATTCAGCAACACTCCCTGGGAAGATCCCACCCCAGAGCTGGACCCTCTTGCTGGTTGAACCCCCGCCTTGGCCAACGCTCCCCGGTCCAGCTCCTGGTGCTTCCCAGGCTGCACCCACACCATCCCCAGCCTCCAGCCAGCTCTTCCAGGTTCCTCTGGGGACGGAGCTGAGCAAACCAAGACCTGCAGGAAGTTGTAGGCAGCAGAAACCAGGTTCCTCCCCTGCAGCAGCCGCGATGGAACGCTCACGGCCAAGGTTGGCCACCCCAGCCCTGCCCAACCCTCCCTGAGCTGCAGGATCACACAGCCAGAAAGGAGCCAAAGCACCAAAAACTTCCCTTGGCAAAGGCCCAATAGAGCCAGCGAGCTAAAAAGCCTAATTTCAAAATAAATTTGTCACCAGAAAGCAGATATTTGCTGCTGTTGGATGAAGAACCCAGCAAACAAGACCATGTGGGTTTTGGCTCAAACCATAGTCAGAGAGAGCAAAACTCAGAATAAATAAGCAGTGGTGTTTTTTTCAGAATAAATAGTAAAAATGGGATGATCTGTGCTAAAACTACGCTCAGAGAAATAAGATTTAGCTCCTTCTGACAAAAGGGAACAACAGCCTTCCTACAGATCTGAAAAATGATGGAAAATAGAACTCTGACGTTTGTCTTGTTCGAGCAGAGGGAGCCATAAAAAACCCACTAATGAGGAAATTTGTAATTCTGCCTCCAAGAGCCAAGTTCCAATAAACACTGTGACGCACACAAGGCATGTGGAGCAGGGACAGGCTCCAGAGAGGCAACTCAGCCCCATTTGGGGGCATCAGCAGCCACCTGTAATGAGAACTCCGGTGTCTGAGGAGACCCTTAACAGGTTTTATCCTTCAGTTCTTACTTCTCTAAATGCTGCCACTCTCTAGGTGGCTCCTCCCAGCAGGTGAGGTACCTTTAGAAGAAATACAACATGAAAGGAAGCAATTAAAGTGGGTGATGTGAAGGTTTTAAGGATATAATTTTCCCCCAAAAGACCAGAGAGAAGAACAGCTGCTTTATCAACTGCAGGGAAGCCCAAAGGGTTCCTCCAAGGCTCAGCATTAAACAGACTCTCTATTATTTCCTTAAAGCTTCCCTGTTTGGAAGTGAATCTCTCCAAAGTTTCCTGTTCAGCACCAACACTGCTCAAAAGAGCAACATCCAAGGAGGCTTCGAGCACATCCTGCCAGTCAAGCACAGAATTGTGGAGGTGGGAAAGTCCTCTCAGACCATGGAGTCCAACCCTCCCCCAGCACTGCCAAGGCCACCACTGACCATGTCCCCATGTGCCACACCCACAGGGCTCTGAAATCCCTCCAGGAATGGGGACTCCACCCCTGCCCTGCCCCATCCCTGGAAGTGTCCAAGGCCAGGTTGGACAGGGCTTGGAGCAACCTGGGCTAGTGGAAGGTGTCCCTGCCCATGGCAGGGGGTGGAATGAGATGATCTTTGAGGTCCCTTCCCACCCAAACCATTCTGGAATTCCGTGAATCCAGCACTCCACCTGCATGGACATCCACGAGGGGACATGGCATCACTGATGGGCTGGAAGGGACCTCAGGGGTCACCAGCCCAACCTGTCACCCAAAGCAGGTCCCAGCAGAGCAGCTCCCTACAGCCATTCCCACGTCATTCCCAAATATCAGGAAGAGCTACCTCAGTGTGAGGGAGGTCAAACCCTGGGAGGGGCTCACAGAGACTGCAAGGTCTCCATCCATGGGGACACTCAGACCTGGAAGGGACACACCTGGCCCTGATCTGCTCCCCTGTGGATCTGAGTGGAGGTTCACACCCTTCCAGGCCAAGGGACTCCATGTTACAGCT